ATATATATATATATATATATACACACACACACACACACACACACACACACACACACACACACACACGCTATGTCTATTATAGTAAGATGATAGGTAATAACATTTCTGTTTAAAACTGTTGTTTTGCCTTTTTATTCTGGAAAAGCTATCTGTAGTTGCTATGTACATTTTTTAGAGAGAACTGTAGCTTAAAATAAGATTAAGTATTAAAATATTTTGTGATAATTAGGATAAACTCAGAGAATAGTTTTAGTATTTCTTCAAAACAGTGACACTGTAGACCAAAGTTTATGATGACGAGATACATATTTAGTGAGTTATTTCCTTCGTTAATAGGTCTCAAGCTGTATCAGTAGGACAGGCCTTGGTGGATGCTAGGTTTCTAGAGTGTGTTGTATCTCAAGACCAGAACTTCATTGATGGTTACTCTCTCTATAGACCAGGGGAGGTAAAAAAACTGGATTAAGATTGATGAAAATAAAACTTTTCTCAAAACCTGCTTGTAGTAGATCATATTATATAGCATATGCAGTTGGAAAGTTCTTTGTGGAAACATGGTCATGTAGCTGTTTTAATTGTCCCATTTGATAAGTGAAATAAAACTTTTAAAATGCATATTATATAACACGTATATTAAAAATAGTAAGTGCTACCTTTCATGAAACACGTTCAGTAGTTTCTAGTCCACTTCTGAATCAAATAGGGATATTAGGGCCCTTCTAACTTTGTGTTAAGTCAATAGTTACATTTTCCAACAGAAGAAAGGTTATTGCAATACTACCTTTGTAACACTTTTAGAATGCACAAAAATATTTTTAAACGTAATAAACAATATATGAGATTGGTTTCTTCACCAAATTTTTAATACTGCCTAGTGGTTAGCATATCAAACTGTGATACTGAGATTCCATGGTTGATGTCCCATTGCTACAAAAAATAAAAAAATCTTGCTCTGCACTTTAGGGCTATGGTCACCATGTAAGACTGAGGGTCAAATACCACTCTTCAGTCTGACACGAGTAACCCAAAAGTTAGCAGTGGGTGGTGTTGACTAGCTGCCTTTCCTCTATCACGTGAAAATTAGGAATGACCTGCACAGATAAATAATATATCAAATTCAGCTGTATTTGTAGAGAAAATGAGGATTAGCAGATGCAAAAAGTAATAAAGCCCTTTTATTTAACAAGCTAATGTATCGTGGTATACTCATATTGCATTGGAATTCTGTTCTATTTTATAACAGTTATACCCTAAAATACACATACTCTACCAGACACACTTTCATTATATCCAGTCTCAGTAACTTGTACATTACCTTCTTCTCGGCTGTTACCAGACACAGTTTCATCATGTCTAGTCTCAGTAACATGTATGTTACCTTCTTCTCGGCTGTTACCAGACACAGTTTCATCATGTCAAGTCTCAGTAACATGTATGTTACCTTCTTCTCGGCTGTTACCAGACACACTTTCATCATGTCTAGTCTCAGTAACATGTATGTTACCTTCTTCTCGGCTGTTACCAGACACACTTTCATCATGTCTAGTCTCAGTAACATGTATGTTACCTTCTTCTCGGCTGTTACCAGACACAGTTTCATCATGTCTAGTCTCAGTAACATGTATGTTACCTTCTTTTCAACTGTTACCATGTGCTGTTTCATCACGTCTAGTCTCAGTGACATGTATGTTACCTTCTTTTCAACTGTTACCAGACACAGTTTCATCATGTCTAGTCTCAGTAACATGTATGTTACCTTCTTCTAAACTGTTACCAGACACAGTTTCATCATGTCTAGTCTCAGTAACATGTGTGTTACCTTCTTCTAAACTGTTACCAGACACAGTTTCATCATGTCTAGTCTCAGTAACATGTATGTTACCTTCTTCTCGGCTGTTACCAGACACACTTTCATCATGTCTAGTCTCAGTAACATGTATGTTACCTTCTTCTGAACTGTTACCAGACACAGTTTCATCATGTATAGTCTCAGTAACTTGTACATTACCTTCTTCTCGGCTGTTACCAGACACAGTTTCATCATGTCAAGTCTCAGTAACATGTATGTTACCTTCTTCTAAACTGTTACCAGACACAGTTTCATCATGTCTAGTCTCAGTAACATGTATGTTACCTTCTTCTAAACTGTTACCAGACACAGTTTCATCATGTCTAGTCTCAGTAACATGTATGTTACCTTCTTCTAAACTGTTACCAGACACAGTTTCATCATG